TTGCACTTAAATTAAAAATATTTGACCAAAGGGAGAGTGGAGAAGGACTATAGAGATGAATATGATTTAGATTTTTATTTCTGTGACTGCACACGACCCACAGGAGACACTGCATTAACAGCAGTCATCATTTCATTCCTTGGCTTTAGCAGCTCCTTTGATTCCACAGCTGACACTGCTAAAAATGACAGATTTTCTTTTCTGGATCTCTGAGAGCAGGACTGCAATCTCTGAACTCATAAAGTTCTTCTTCTTAGTTTGCGATGTCATTTATGAATGGACACTTCSTGGTATGTGGGGCAGGAAGTGTAGCCTTATATGGTGTTTATGGGGTGGTAATTATMCTAATCTCRTCTCCTCGTGCACGAGCACCTGATACGCATTCATCATTTTACGCAGCTCATTTACACACTTTTCCTGAAGATAGAAGAGTTTGTTGAATCTGACGTGGCATGTTCGTACGAACCCTTTGTACGAACAAAAGTAAGAGAAATTTAGGATAAGAATACGAACATGTTCTTGCTTGAGGCCCATTGTTCTGTGAACAACTGAGCCTTTCAAGGATGCTCCCTTTATACCCAATCATAACACTCACCTGTTTTCAGTTAAGTTGTTCATCTGTGGAATCCTCCTTACAGGTGTTTCTTGAGCATTCCTCAACTTTACCAGTCTTTTGTTACCCCTGTCCCAGTTCTTTTGGAACGTGTTGCAGCATCAAATTCAAAATGAGTGAATATCTGCAAAAATTCAATAAAGTTTAACCATTTGAACATTCAATACCTTGTCTTTGTAGTGTATTCAATTGAATATAAGTTGAAAAGAYTTTGCAAATCATCGTATTCTGTTTTTATTTATGATTTACACAACYTCCCAACTTCATTGGAATTGAAGTTGTACAGGGAAGGTCATTTCTACAGATCATATGGGGATCCTAACTTGATGTTTCATGACCCACAAAGGGGTCCYTGGCCCTAAATTTGGAAACCACTGGTCTAGGCTGTGTTGTTTGAGGTGACCGGGTCAACAGAACATTTGAGCCATRGATTACTCAGCTGATGAAAATGTTTCATGATTAAAGCCTCAGGTCCGCCTTTAGGTACAGACTAAGTTTCTGTCAGTTTTCATGTGTTTGCAGCATGATGAAGGCTTGTTTCCAGAAGGTTTCAGGTTTACAGGCTTTCATGCGTGTGGATCGTGTTCATTGATCTTTAGATTTACAAATGCAGTTTAAAGTTTTTGTTTTTTAAAGTTTATAAATTAAAAGAATAAATGAAGGCAGTGAAACAGGACACATGCGTAGCCCAGCAGTTAATGTGTTAACTGTATTTTTC